TGGTAACCTCCAAGAATCAGCCAACGAATAGTCCTTTGTAAGCTTCCAGCCCTAGACAGTTCTCATGTGGTCGGCTGGACTAGACTCACATGAGAAACCCTAGATAKGCTCTGATACCAAGTAGTCGATCAAGACTACAATCAGTCTTGAATTCCAACAGATTTCGGATTGAGAAAAGTAGAGAAAAGTAGAAGAAAGAGGGAGAAGAAAGGAGAAGAAGCAGAAGTACAAAAGGGTTTTGAAAGGAGGGACAGATCGAATGAATCTGCCGTCGCGACTCTCTCAATATTTATAAATTATGTTCAGTAAATGTAGGAAAGGACAGAATTGCCCTTAATGCTTACATGGCAAATAAAACAAATAAATAACTGAGATAACAAGCTATCTAAGATAACTACCAACTAACACTGACAAACTAATCAAAGATTACATGTGCTGTCATACGAACACAGTGGGGACCACAGCCGTGGGGCCCACATCAGTGTTCTCTACACATAAAATATCATCTATATCTTTTGTCATATTTCACAATGTTTCCACCATGTCTAATTTTTACAATATTTTCATACGATATTTCTGACATTTTCGGCATGTTCCCTGTATTTGGATGACCAACATATCCACCGACACTAACATTTTAAGCCTTGGCACTAGTCTTAATCATCCAAGTTCTACTATGACAAGCATACAACAATTCAAGTCTCAGAGCAGCAACTGTGTGGAAAAAATTCCAAAGGTTAAGTCCGTATCCAATCCACCCCTCCCAAGAGCCCAGCTAAGTGAGCTAACATTGGATATGGCGCTGAACAGTAACCAGGATCAACATTTACTATCAGACCAAATGAAAATGACAAAATTTTAAATAAGAAATTCTGGAATTGTAAATCTATTTAATAGGCTACATAACTTTACACATCTGATATGAACAAACGAAAAACAAACCTGGTAACCAAATCCATTGTATGGTGGGATGTAACCCACCGGTACGGCCCCAAAAAATGAATGTTGCTGTGTTGAATCAGTATTTGCCACATTAGAAGCCTGAGATTGAACTTTTTGAGCCCTACGAGCTTGCCTTTCCTTTTCTGTATCTGCCCACTTGACAACTAAAGGAACACTTGAACCCTAAAGTAGAAATTTTATCCAAAGTGTTATCACATCGTCAACAGTAGTCTCAAGTGTTAAAACATTTTTATACAAGTAGATCAAATATCTGAATAATTAAGAAATCATATTATTCTTGTCTCAACAACAGAACAACCCATTCACCAATAGGAATAAAAAATAACAAGTTCAATGTAAAACATAATTGAAATGCTTGAGGTAGGAAAAATCACACAAATTCTTGCTTTTTTTACTTCAATCATAATGTATAGACAGAATAAAAAACAAGACAAAATAAGCAGAATAGATATTAGCTGGGATATGTAAGAGGGTCTAGGTTTCAATACACAAGAATTTCAATATGCACGTTTGATTTCCATAGTTCAATATTATAATATGGCATTTGGACTTTTGAAACCACCTGGAAAGGGAGRCATTCAGCTGGAAAAGGGATTCTCCTAAAATCTGCCTTACATCTTCCAGACTTCACCACTAATTTACTTTTTGTCTCAAAAATTACTAAAACCCTAAATTGTGTTGTAACCTTCTTTCCCACTCACTATGTTTTCCAGGACCGATTGACGAAGCAAATGATTGTGAGTGGTCGTGAAGCTGGTGGCTTCTACTACCTTGATGATAATATATGCTCTGCTCTGAAAGCTTCTATCAATGGTAGCAGTAACAAGGAGCCAAGCACAACTCTTTTCACCTAGCATGCTAGATTAGGTCATGTGTCCTTTTCATTGTTGAAAGCTTTGTTGCCAAAATTGTTCAAAGACGTGCCTATTGAAAGTCTTTTTTGTGATGTGTGCCAATTGGCAAAACATTGTAAGGCAAACTATCCAAGTTCTATTAGCAATGTCGCTACCTTTTTTTATTTAGTTCACTCTAATGTGTGGGATCCTTCACCCATTGTTTCTATGGATGGCTATCGCTATGTTTCATTGATCATTTCTCAAGGTGTACATGGGTTTACCTTATGAAGAACATGAGGAAGTTCCCAGAATTACTATGATTTTTTTTGCAAGATGATTCAAACCCAATTTGGAAAGAAGTTAAACAATTTAGGTTGCACAATGCAGCTGAATATTTTAATAATACCTTTAATGAAGGGACCTTACATCAATCCTCTTGGAGTTACACCCCACCAATGTTTTAAAACGTGAAGGCGTGACACGAGGCGTTCCACTACCTTGAGGCGTAAGGCGTAGTTTAGAACATAAGAGGCATAAGCCTCCTTAAGAGGAGGGGGATCTCATTTTTTCTTTATTTTTAATAATTTTCTTTTATATTAAGAAGAATAAAGATGCATAACACTAGTTGAAAGGAGGGTCTTGTTGAAGCAGAGGTGAGCAAGCCAGATCAAGGTACTATCCCTATACCTTCTAACTCTAATTTGAATCTTCCCATTGCTTTGCAGAAACCTACTCGGTCTTGTACCCTTCACCCTTTAAATAGGTTTGTCTCTTATTACTGTTTATCTCCAACATATTATTCCTTTGTTTCTACCTTGTCTTCCACTTCCACTCCTTCCAGGTACTCTGAGGTTGTTGTTGATCCTAAATGGAGGGAAGCAATGCATGAAGAAATGAGAGCTTTACTAAAGGCTGGTACTTGGAAAGTGGTGGATCTACCAGTTGGAAAGAGCATTATTGAGTATAAATGGGTGTATACTGTGAAACATAAGGCCGATAGATCAGTAAAGAGATATAAAGCAAGGTTAGTGGCAAAAGGGTTCACACAGAAGGAGAGCATAGATTATACAGAGACCTTTTCCCCAGTTGCCAAGTTGAACATTATACGGGTGTTATTGTCCTTAGCAGTTAACTACAATTGGGAATTGCACCAGTTGGATGTCAAGAATGCTTTCTTTAATGGAGACCTTCAAGAAGAAGTCTACATGGACCCTCCATCGGGCTATAACATGAGAGGAAAGGTATGCAGGATGAAGGGAGCTTTATGTGGGCTCAAACAATCACCTAGAGCATGGTTTGAGAGATTGTGCAAAGCAATGAAGATTGTGGGTTATCATCAAAGCAATGTTAATCACACACTATTCTATAGAAAAAAAATGTAGAGAAGCTATTAGCATTGATTATATATGTTGACGACATGGTGGTGGCAGGAAATGATTCAAAGGAGATCAAAAGACTCAAGAAGTTCTTGGCCTCAGAGTTTGAGATAAAGGACTTGGGACCTCTAAGGTACTTCCTAGGAATAGAGGTGGTTGGGTTTAGGGAAGGAATTTATATTTTCCAGAGGAAGTATGCATTGGACCTCCAAAAGGAGACAAGAAAATTAGGAAGTAGGCCTATGGAGACTCCCAAAGAGCAAAACCATGGATTACAGAAGACGAATGAGGAGCTCTACCCAAACAAGGAAAGAWACCAACAACTTGTGGATAAGCTTCTCTATCTATCTGTCACCAGACCTAATATTGCTTATGTTGTCAGCCTGTTTATGCATGCTCCTCGTGTTTCACACATGAAGGAAATGGAGAGAATATTGAGGTATTTGAAGACATGTCTAGGAAAAGGATTGCTATTTAAGAAGCAGGGTAAGCTTAATGTAGAAGCTTATACTGATGCTGATTGGGCTGGCTCAACTGGAGATAGGAGGTCTACAACCGGATATTGCACATTTGTAGGTGGAAATCTAGTGACTTGGAGAAGCAAGAAACAAACTATAGTGGCTCGGTTAAGTGTTGAAGTTGAATAATGGGCCATGGCACATGGACTTGCAGAACTTCCTTGGATTAGGATACTCCTAAAGGAATTGGGAATCACTATGTCTGAGCCTTTGAAGCTTTATTGTGATAACCAAGCTGCAATAAACATTGCAAATAACCATGTCCAGCATGATAGGACCAAACAAATTGAGATTGACAGGCACTTTGTGAGAGAAAGGATAGTGTCAGGAGAGCTATGCATTCCTCATATGCCATCTTCAAGACAAGTTGTTGATGTCTTCACGAAGGGTCTTGCTAGAACCAGATTTAAAGAGCTGATTTGCAATTCAACCCAAAAGGTGAGGGATGAGAAAGAAGAAAATCAGACACAGGCTTTTCTTTGAGGTTGGGAAGAACAAACAGAGAGGAAAAAGCATCTTTAAAGGGAGATTCTCCCACCCAGATATCTTCCTAGAACCTTATCTTCTGACCTAAAGCCAAGTCATACCTCACATGATTAAGGAAGAAATGAAGGGTACTGTGTATAGCTTTCCAAGGTGTAGCAAGAGTAGCTTTGGGTAGACAACCAACATCCACATGAATGAACATACATGAATAGGAGACTAATCATTGAAGGAGTAAAATGTTGATTGATCATTGAAGGAGACCCTAAAGTGGTAATAGGTTGGCTAGGGAAGGAAAATGATGGCATGTGGACATACATGTATGAACGTAGACATTTTAAGTGGCTGATTCAAGATATGGAGRTGAGATTGCAATGGGTAAAAAGAAGTGTCAATTCATTTGCAGATGCACTTGCCAAACAAGGGGTGGGAGGGAATCAGTTGCTTTGGGATACTTTGTAATGTTGTATCTCTTTGGGGGGAGAGTTAAGACATTTTACCTTTCCCCTCCCTTGTACTTGATTCATACTTTTTAATGAAAATTCTGTTATTGGTCAAAAAAAAAAATAATGCTCAGAATGTGATGTTCTTTTTCTGCTAAGGAAATTTGAGAAGAATGGCTGAGACATATTCCCAAACCCAGAATGCAACTTTGTGCTTACCAATTGAGGAGGTGAGTAGCATGAGACAGGGAGAAAAATCTATGTCTGTGTACTTCTCTTTAGTCTCTTTGGGAAGAAATCTACCATATGAAGGTAATGAAGTGGCATTGTTCAAGAGACTCCAAGTAGCATAAAGACTTGATTCAGAACAGGGTGTTCAAGACTAACAATTTTTTAACTCAAAGTATGACTTTACCTAACAGCATATTCTTAGTTGTGATGTAGTCAATCTACCACAGGCATATTACTATGTCTTGCAAAAGAGAGCCTTAGGATGCCTTTGTTATAGACCCCTAGCCAAGAACCATCAGTTATGGCCTTAACAAAACAGAGATGAGTGGGATTGAGGCTACATAGGTTGATGAGTTGGATGAAATTAAAAGTTAAAAGTGATTATTGCTAGAAAAACCATGACATACACAAGACAAATGTTAGGAGCTAAATCTTCATTTGAAGCTAGCATGTTTCAAAAGTACCAAGAAGAGCAATACCATTGCCACTTCTATTAACTTTAAGGATTCTTAGTCTAGTAGTAGTCATGTTTCCAGTTGGACCACCTTCCTCAGATTTAGCTACTGCTCAGACTATATCATAAGATGGATTTAGTCAACTTCTCTCCTTGTTAGAAGGAAATGCAACAACTTCTAACCTTTCTTCATACATTGCCTTTGCACATTCAAGTACTCCTACATCTGCTCATCTTGCATTTTATTTGACTCAAATCCATCCTTGGATAATAAATTTTGGTGCCTCTGATCACACATGATTAGTAGGTCTTCCTTCTTTCATCTATATCCTTTATATACCTAATGTGTCGCAGTAGCCTTAACATGAATGGAGAAAAACCATGGATTCATGGAATATGAAATGAATACTCTAATAAAAATGAATCATAGATAATTATTTGGGTCGAGGTATATATAGAGCTCTGTTTCTAAACTTGGGGTCAAAGTATATCCGAATTTGATCCGTTAACTAAACGGATCGACTTTTCCAATCCGATCCGATTTGTTAAGATCAAGGGAGGTATCTGAGTCCAGCTCTTGTCGGATCGAATCCGGATTCGAACCGGATTTGATCCGACTTATTTGTCATGTGTCTTTTAAGTCCATTAAGTTTTTGTTTCCAAACTTGTGCCAATCTGTCTCCAATTTGAGTATGCAATGTGAAGTTTGTCATCTCTCAAAACAATGTAGAACAACATATGATGTTGCTTTCAGCTTGATTCATACTCATGTTTGGGGCCCATACTCTACTCCTTGTATGGGTGGCTATAAATATTTTGTA